TACAGCCATAAAAACAGGAAGTTATACTCCATGTATGTATGTCAAAATACATTCTACTGTCATGTATAAATAAAAAGAAAAAATAAAAAATTCAAAAAATTATTATTCAAAATATACAGAACTCTTAAACCTCAATCATAACAAAACAAGCAACCCCAATTTAAAAATGGGCAAAAGACCCCTGAACAGACACTACCCAAAGAAGATATAAAAATAGCAAATAAGGTATACAAAAAATGAAGATGCTCAGCATCACATGTCATTATTGCAATGCAAATTTAGACAAGATACCAGTTCACATTTCTTAAAAAGGTCAAAATCCAAAATATAGACAAATCCTTGTGAGGCTGTGGAGTAATACAAATCCTTGTGAGGCTGTGGAGTAATACAAATTCTCATTGCCAGTGTAAGGCAAAATAGAACTGTCACTTAACTTACCAAGAATCCATCAATCAAGCTCCTTGGTATTTATCAGAGTTGAAACTTTATGTCCATTCAAAACCTACACACAGATCTTTAGAACAGTCTTATTTGCAATTGCCCAAAGTTGGAAACAAGCCAAGATGCCTTTCAGTAGGTGAATGGGTAGGTAAACTGTGGCCACCCATACAATGGAGTATTACTCCTTGCTTAAAAAAAAAAAAAAAAAAAGAGGGGGCTACCAAGCCATAAAAGACATTAGGAAAACTTAAATGCATACATGTTGTATGATTTATATAGATAAATTTCTGGAAAATGAAAAAAAATATGGAGAAGTAAAAAACCAGTGATTACCAGGGGATAGTGGGTAAAGAAAGGAAACAAAGCACAGAAGATTTTCAGGACACTGAAATTATTCTATGTGATATAATGATAAAAATATGTCATTAAACACGTAAAAGTCAGACATGGTGGTGCATGCCTATAATTCCAGCAACTTGGGAAGCTGAGGCAAGAGGATCACAAGTTCAAGGTCAGCCTCAGAAACTTAGCAAGACCTTGACTCAAAAAAGGCTGAAGCTGAGTGAAGTGCGCACGCCTGTAATCCCAGCAGCTTGGGAAGCTAAGGCAGGAAGATTGTGAGTTCAAAGCCAGCTAGTTTCAGCAAAAGAGAAGCTGGTAAGCAACTAAGTAAGACCCTGTTTCTTTACTTTTTATACAAAATAGAGCTAGGGATGTGACTCAGTGGTTGAGTGCCCCCGAGTTCAATCCCTGGTACAAAGAAAACCAAAAACATAAATTGAAAAAATTAAAAATAAAAAAGCCTGCTCTACAAAACAAAATCTATTAAAATCTTTCTTAAAAATTAATTTAAAAGAGACTATGTGATAATACAGGTTGAGTATCCCTTATCAGAAATGCTTGAAACTAAAAGTGTTTCAGATTTTTTCTGATTTTGAAATATTTACATGTACACAATGATATTCTTAGGAATGAAACTCTAGGGTAAAAACAAACTTCATTTGTGTTTTACATACCTTATACACTTAAAGATAATTTTATACAATATTTTTTTATAGCATGCCTGCATTTTGACTGTACTTGTCACATGGGCCATTTGTAAAAATTTTATTTCTTGATACTCAATACAAACCTTTAACTATTAGCTATTAGATTCAGTTGAGAGACAGAGTGCTTGACTAGCATGCACAAGGTACTGAGTCCAATCAACAACAATACAAAAGAAGCATGTGAGAGACTCTGGGGCCACTTGGCCATCACCACGCATTGGGGACATTCATACAATTTATAATACAAAATCTAGAAAGACACTCTAAACACCAGAAGCAGTATATGCTAGGAAGAATCCAAGGGAGAAATGAGAGCCATGTGCATCCCTTAACTATGAACTAATCAGTGGCATAAATAATTTGGAAATTTATTTAGGAATTCAAATCCTTTTTGAATTTCTCTTTGAAATTTCATTTACTATGATCTACTCCTACCCAAGTGTTCCATTAACTCAATTTTTATTAAGAGTTTCACAACCATGAAGATGATATATTTGCTTTAAGAAAATAATTTTACTGTTGGGCACAGTGGCACATGCCTGTAATTCCAGTGACTCAGGAGGCTGAGGCAGGATGATCGAAAGTTCAAGGTCAGCCCCAGCTGACCCAGTAAGACTCTCAGCAACTTAGCAAGACTCTGTTTCAAAATAAAAATTAAAAAAACAAAAACAAAAAAACCCTGCAGCTATAGCTCAGTGGTAAAACACCCCCAGGTTCAATCCCCAGTACCAAAAAGAAAAATGAAAAAAATAGAAGAAAATAATTTTACAATTTTGAAATCTTATGTTACTTAATGCTATAAAGCTTTATTTACAAAGTTCTTCAAAATATATTTCAGTTGTCTACCCAGTATTCCAAGTATGAAATGCTATCAAATAGATTTGATTTATAGAAAAACATAAAACAGAGAAAACAATTTTACAATTTAATATATACAGTGCCATTAGTAGTTTTTATTTTTACAATTTCTTTTTAAAAATAATTTACTGAATGTTTTTGCTGATAGCATTTCAGAGTGAAGTGGTTTTCAAGAGTAGATTTCCAACAGTCCAATGTATTTTATAGTGTTGAGAGTTTATGAGTAGTTGTATATCATTTTTTTTCCCATTTTTTTTCAGAAGTCTTGGATGATGAAAAATCATGACTTTCTCCACTACTATAGCGCTCATATAAAGTCTGAAATTAAAACACAAATCTGTTCTGTAATTTTTAAAATTCAATGTATTATCAAATTATTAAAGATAACATATTCTAAGTGTAATAAATTATTTCTCTTATTCTTATAATTGGGAAGTTATCTTATAAAACATTGGAAATAAAATTTTTATTTTATTTTATTTTTTTAGAAATTAAGGGGTTTTTTGTTTTGTTTTGTTTTTTAAAAAGAGACAGAGAGATAGAGAATTTTTTTTAATATTTATTTTTTTTTTAGTTTTTGGTAGACACAACATCTTTGTTTGTATGTGGTGCTGAGGATTGAACCCAGGCTACATGCATGCCAGGCGAGCGCACCACCGCTTGAACCACATCCCCAGCCCAAGAAATAAAAATTTTAAACAGCTAATTTGACCTTAAAAATTAGCTATCATGAAATGCAGTTCCATCTTCCCATAAGAGAAATATAACATAGCTATTAAGCATATATGTAAATCTTTAAGACTTTCTTGATCTCCCTTATTTTTTCATAAAGTCACTTAAGTAAATGTGAAACTTAATAGGAAGTATTTTCAGATCTATTTAAATTAATCAGAGGACATTAAAAATTTTCATGTAAGAAATTATAATTAGGTAAATTGTCCCTTGGCATTCGTAAGGGACTGGGTCCAGGATCCTACGTGAGAGACCAAAAACTACAGATGTTCCAGTCCCTTATATTAAGTGCCATAGTATTTGCATATACACATATAGCTGCCTATCTATTTAAAACCATCTCCAGATCACTTACAATACTGAAAACATTGTAAATGTGATGTAAATTGTTGTTATACTTTATTTTGTAGGGAATAATAAGAAAAAAGTGTATATGCTCAAACTTTTCACTGCAGAGACAATGTTCAGTATAGATGTAATTTTTTTTTTTTTTCTTTTCGTGGTGGTGGGGATTGAACCCAGGGCTTTGAGCATACAAGGCAAGCACTCTACCAACTGAGCTCTATCCCCAGCCTTAGATGCAATTCTTTTCTGGTTGTTGTTTTGTTGATTCAGGGTTTCTTAAATTGCCCATGCTGGATCTTGTGATCCTCTAATCTCAGCTTCCTGAGTATCAAGCTTGGATTACAAGTATGTACTGCCATACACAAAATTTTAAATCTGAGATAGTTTTAATCTGCAGTTGACCAAATCCACAGATGTTGAAAAAAAAAAAAAAAAGACTGACTGAAAAAGCTTAGTGAACATCTAATTGAAGATTGCAGATACCTTTGCCTTCAAAGAATATAACATCAGGGTTAAAGGTGACTAATACACCTTATTTATAAAATTTTGAGCAATATATTGGTAAAAACGAAAAGCATAGAGAGATGAAATAAAGAGGAATTACAAAACAGATTGTCTGATTTTGACTCCTAAAGCCACTGATTTAGCCATCAGCATTTGAGAAAATTAACCTTATTTGAATGCTAATAGTGAACATATAATAAATTTCTTAAGAAATAAGACTAAAATCTTAGCAACTTAGATTGATTTACCCCTATACAGAGAGCTAGAGTGCTATTTAGTTCAACCTTTCATCTAATAATGCTATAATGAAATAGACAATTAGTAATTGTTAAATAGCTAAACCAATTGGTCAGTAAACATTCACAGGCACTAGACATGACTGATGACACTGAAATCCAAAAATCATGAAATAGATATAAACAGGTATCAGGAGGCTGAAAAGTCTGATACAGGCTTCAGTAAATATATTGATTGCTATGTATATTTTATAGGAGCCATTTCATCTGACAAAAAGTGTAATTTCTCTAAGGCTTAGTAAAATTTGACCAGAAGGAATTAATTCAAAAGCTGTGTTAAAAACAGTATTGAGCTGGAACATGCCTATAATCCCAGCTACTCAGGAGGCTGAGGCAGGAGGATCACGTTCAAAGACAGCTTCAGTAAAAGTGAGACACTAAGGAATTCAGCAAGACCCTGTCTCTAAATCAAAATGCAAAATAGGGATGGGGATGAGGCTCAATGATCAAGTGCCCCTGAGTTCAATCCCTAGTACTATACACACACACAAAGGTGTTGAAATAGAGTGATTTAAAATAATTTATCTATTAAATTTATTCCAGTTAAGACCTGACAGAGAACTCTTTTAAATGTACTTTATATACATAATAATACTATAAGCTATATAAATCTGTATTTATCAAAAATCACGTTAAGTGTCTAACTATAGACATAAACTTCATAAATGACATGATAATTAGACCAACTTTTATTTGTGTTACCTGTTTTTTGAGTGCCTAACTCACTAAACTATACAAAACAGTTCAAACCAATGTAGAAAATACACATACTTACTTTAGCAGCTTTCAAAATGGAGTTAGGAGAATTCAGACCAACAAGTTGGCCTAGAACATATTTCATTTCATCAGTGGCTCCTTTAGCCATTTGATTACCTATAAAATAAATATAATTAACACACTGGTAACCAATAAGAAAAACTTAAGTCCATTAAAAATACACATTCTATTTCACACAACAATAACTGACATTCTTTTTCATCACCACCACTCTTCCCTCAGTATGGGGATTAAACCTAGGGCCTCACGCATGCTAGGCAAGCCCTTACCACTGAGTTATATCCCCAGTCCTTTTTATGTTGAAATAGGGTCTCACTAAGTTGCTGAGGCTGGCTTTGAACTTGTGATCCTCCTGCCTCAGCCTCCTAAGTAGCAGAATTACAGGCATGCACCACTTGTAGCTGGCATTCTCATACTTTACCTCTGATCACAGTCCCTTATCTAGGATAGGTAAAAAACTAAATGCCATCAAGTAAAGAAAGGCAATTTTATTTACTTTATTATTTGGCAAAATAGCAATTTCCTTAGGGAAGGAGGTAGGCTGCAAAAGAGTAGCCAATGTAGATTCTCGTTTTTATCATAGTTAAATAGGTTAGAAATCTGGCGATAAACAATAAAGAAATAGTACCTGGTTGAGTTTGAATTTGAACATATGGATGTGCCAGGAGCTCAGAAATGGATATCCTCTGTTTAGGGTCCCTTATTAAACAACACTACATAAATAAAGATGGGGGGGGCAGTTTTTAAAAAGTGAATTGATAAAATATTTCCAGACTGCATCACATTACAGAAGCTGCTTTCTAAATATCCCACTCAAATAATATTCTTTACCCCAAGTCACTTTTACAAAATTCTCAAGTATTCATTAAGCTTTCAAACACATTTGAAGTAAACTAATCAGGCTTTAAGAGCTACTTCAGTTAGTCATTTTTTTAGTAGACCAGTTATTTAAGCCATAATTCTGATCATTTCAGTTATTCTTTCAAACAAATCATTAATCATATGAAATATCTGTCTATATCCATATACTAGTAATATTACCTTTAACACATCTTGAAGATCTTTCTCTGGAATATCAGGAAATTCAATGTCATGATTAGGGTCAATTATGGCATGTAACTTAGAAATCTGATTAATTATATGCTGAAATGGTGTTTTCCCATAAGTCATATTGTACAAAATGCATCCTAAGGACCAAACATCACTTTTGGGGCTTATCTAAGTAGGAGAGGGGGGAAAAAAAGGAAAAGCAAGTTGCTTTATTTTAATACAAAGTTATATGTTTAAAATCATAATTATCATAAAATCATAATAAAATCTCAATAAATGTGAAAGTACCAGATTATGTTTACATGACAGAGTATCTTTTTCTGATTTTCATGACATTTGATTATTTCATCAAGAGATGAGCTTTTAGATTATGCTAAGTGAAACTAGTCAATCGTTAAAAAACAAATACCAAATGACCCCTTTGATATAAGGGGAGTAAACAAGGACAGGGTAGGGACAAAGAGCTTGAGAAGAAGATTTACATTAAACAGGGAGGAGAGGTGGGAGGGAAAGGGAGTGAGAATGATATATAAGAGGAAAGGAGGGGTAAGACAAGATAATACAAATGGAAGAAATGATTTACAGTAGAAGGGGTAGAGAGAGAAAAGGGGAAGGGAGGGGAGGGGAGGGGGGATAGTAGAGAATAGGACTGACAGCAGAATACATCAGATACTAGAAAGGCAATATGTCAATCAATGGAAGGGTAACTGATGTGATACAGCAATCTGTATACGGGGTAAAGTTGGGAGTTCATAACCCGCTTGAATCAAACTGTGAAATATGATGTATTAAGAACTGTATAATGTTTTGAACGACCAACAATAAAAAAAAAAAGAAAAAAGAAAAAAAAAAGAGATGAGCTTTTCACTTTAAACCTTTCAACAAACTCATAATCACTCAATTGAGACACAATATTAAATAATTGTCAGCTTATGAAAATAAGAAAATAAAAAACATAACTATCAATTTTATTTGTTTTCCCCAGAATTACTGGATTACAATACATTTTTGTAAAAATGCAAAGTATGTATACATTAAACGGTTGCTTATATTGAGCAACCCTAAATTTAAGAATATAAATTGCAGAAATTAGGCTGGGCAGGGTCTGTGTACTGGTCTTATCATTAGCTGGTAATTCTATGTCTCTGTCTCCTTACCTCTAAAACACAAATAAAAGTACATTGTTGTAGGACTGGGGTATGGCTCAGTGCTAGAGAGCTTGCCTCGCATGTGTAAGGCTCAACATGCAGCATTGCCAGGTGGGGAGGAACACAATGTAATGGAAATTAAATAACATAACCAAGAATATGGTTGACCAGAGAATACTTTCTGGTTATAGTAAGTACTCAATAACTTCTCCTAATCCCCATATAAGACACATAGAGCAGTATGACAACAAAGCCAACACATGGAAAATATTTAGAACAAAGCGAGGTGAAAAGGTACACCCATGAACTCGGGATAGCAAGTGGGTAGGTGCAAACCATCAAAAATCATGAGCCCTACACAGTAGAAACATTTTTAAACAGAAAGCAGAGGAAGCAATGAAGGCACCTAAGGACCTGAGAAGAAACTCAAAGGAGCAAAGAGGTATTCACTGGTAAGTGTGGCAGACCAAGCTGACAACGCAGCTGAACGGGGAGGGTTTTTGTGCCCTTCACCAGTTGAGATTCATGTTGAAATAAAACTTCTGTCTTCTAGAATCACTGAGGCCACTGTAAAAAGGAGGTTATTCAATCCATCTGAGATTTACCATTACACATTAAATCACAGAGTTGACAATTGAAAAACATCTGAACTCTAGGTGGAATTTAAAATATCTTAAAGTAAAAATGAAACAATTTTAAAACTGAAATTACAAACCTTAGAAATTAATGAAAATAAGAAATACCACAGTAAAACAGTAAATGTAGTAGCCAAAATAAAACTCAGAGTAAAATGCATAATCTTAATTATGAGGATGAGCTCTATAATTAAATGTTATTATTTATATCCAGAAGTTAGGGGAAAAAATAAAACTAAAGAGAAAACAAAAAAAGCAACTGAAACAAAGGCATAAACTGGAAAGCAAATGAAAATAGAATCCACAAATGAAGTTAAAGCCCAGTTAAGATCAACAAAACCATGGTAAATCCAATCAAGAGACAAAAAAATCTAAATTTTAGAAGAGTAGAAGCTAAACAAACATAAAAACAAATTTATAAAATAGCATATTTGTTAGCTGGGAGTGGTGATACACTATTGTAATCCCAGCAACTTGGGACACTGAAGCAGGGGGATTACCATGTTAGAGGCCAATGTGGACAACTCAGCCAATTGAAAAATAAAAAGAGTTGGGAATCTAGCTAAGAGGTAGAGTGCCCCTGGGCTCAATCCCCAGCACTGCAGGAAGGGAGGAAAGAAGGGAGAGGGAGAAAGGAAAGAAGGAAGGAAAAGAGCCAGTGGCAACTCAGGAAAAATTACATACTCCAGGTATACTTTGAAATGTAAAATTCAGAAAAGATTAAATGGTGAAAACAAAATGTAAGAACCAGAGAAGAAACAAAGAGACTGGAATGATATCAGCTCAGTGCTATTTTAGGTGTCCAAATTAGGGTTAATTTTTTTTCATTTAATTTTAAAACTTAAGAAAAATATATACCCATGGTGCATTTCTTATAGGAACACATAGGAAGGGTCACTATATTAAAAAGAACAGTGTTAAAGATCAGGTCAAGTCATCAGAAGGGTAAAATTAAATCTATGACAATCTGCTTAAGAGTTTTCTCACAAGTTGACAGATGTCAGGTGAATGGGATATATTACAGTACCTTTGACTTGGGTTTCCCTTTCTCTCTTGAGGATGACATATCTTTGATTGCTTCTGGTGGCATGTAATTAATGGTGCCAACCTATTTGCCAAGTCACAGAAGATATAAATCAATGAACATAGTTCCTTCTGCTTTACATGTTTAAAAAACACAAATATCAAATTTTATTCCAACATTCCCTTTTCCCATATCTCCTCCCTTGCTCTCAATCTCCTGCCTCTCCTCCACTGATCTCCCTACTATGTTCATGGGATCCTGCTGCTCTTACTCCGCACCCCCCACCTTATTTTATTCTAGCTTTTGCATATGAGAGAAAGCATTTGACTTTTGACTTTGAGAATGACTTATTTCACTTAACATAAAGTTTTCCAGTTCTATCCATTAACTAGTAAATGTCATAATTTCATTTTTCTTTAAGGCTCAATAAAATTCCATTGTGTACATATATGACTGTACCAAAGTGAATTTCATATAATATATATATGCATAAATTAAGAGAATTTCAGTAGAGCAGAGGAAGGAGACAGGGAGAGGGAGGAGGAAAGGGAAAGGGGAAGTACTAGGGAAAGGGGAAGGGAAAGGTGAAGTAAACTGTATTCCAAGATTTTTGGAAACTTGGATAATTATTGATTTCATGATATGCTTAAAAAATTCAAATAACCACCAACAAAATATCAAATTATTTCTCAAAAGATTAGGGTCAGAATCAGAAAACTGATTCATTTTCAGAATGTTGTGTTTTTTTTCTATAATTACAGTGGCTAACTAGTAATATCTGCCTTAATGTGTTCCTCTTATTCTGAAATAAATGGTTCTGCTTGTAACACAGAATCCTGTATTTTAGGGCCTTGGTACAGAAGACATCTTCAAACTCATCTTACAATTCAGTGTTTAGTCATACTTTTGATATAAAGAATGCTGCAAATAAATTGTTTTAAGGGCATGATGCCCATCTATTCTTCTACAAAGTCTGACTTTGCTGATTAGGAACCATTTGAAACCTACATACATGAAACTTCATTTTAGCTCCAAGCCAAATTATCATTTAATTAAACTTTGTTGGTTTTTCTTTAGTCATTATGGGACAACTCCATTACATTTGCTATGCATATCCTATTTCAAAAGTGTTGTTAAATACAATACTGATTTTAACATTTTCAATATGAAGTCCCTCTTAAATATTTTTTCCAATATAAGTCATAGAAAAAGTTTGCTTCTCTGAAAGTACAGAAATAGTCTTGTCCCATGGACAATAAAAACCATATAACTGCCATTCCCTCTTTGGTTGCTGTGAGGAAACTATGAACCAGACTTTCAAATCAATTTTGAATCAGGATAAAGATGATTTCTGGCTATAGAAAAATCCTTCCAAATTTTAGGTGTATTTCTATATGATCTTGACTTTCTATTCTAAATTATTTTGACCATTACTTCAAATCTCTTAATAGTTATATTCTTATAAAATAGTTATATTCTTGTAAAAAAAGATGCAAATCCTTTGAAGAACTAGGTAGATAAAAATATTTCACAGGAGCAAGGGAACTACACTCAAATGCATGATAACCAACCATTAAAAGTCCTACCTGAGAATCTTTAACAATACTTGTTGTATCTGGTTGCATTTGGTTTGCAATTCCAAAATCAATTAGCTTTAGCATTCCATCAACTATCAGGAAGTTGGCAGGCTTCAGATCACTATGAACAATGCCTTCAAAAGAAAAATACATCTTATTAGACAAAGTAAAACATTCTGCAGATTTTTAAGGCAGATATTACTGTTATTTACTGTTACTGTAAGTCACAACCTACAATAAACTTGGTTCCTTCAATAGTCAGCCCAATTGATTTTTCACATTTTTAAAATACTCTGTATTTTCATAATACGTGTTATGTGCCAGACACTCTTCCAAGTTTTTTGCTTACAATGAATCACTTAATCCTTATAATGATGCTGAGGTAAGTATCATTATCCTTATTTTAAGATGAAGAAATTAAGGCAATGAGCGTTTGAGCAACTTGCTCAAGGTCACAAGGACTAAGTGACAATGCCATGAGTTTAAGCCAGCCAGTTTGGCTTCAAAGTCTCTTTGGACCACTATGGTTAGCTGCCCAGTTGAAAGTATCATAACTGGTACTGCCAGAAGGTAAGAACCGAATCCTACTGACACCTCCATGCCCACAGCCATGATCTTCATCACTTGTTAATTACCCTTTAACTTACAGGAATAGGAGAAGATAAATCAGTTAGTTATTTAACCGTTTGTTTTTAAAGATAGGGTAAAGGAAGAGAAAAAGAAACATGAACAAGTTTAAGTAGAAACCATGGGGTAACAGTAAAAAAACAAAAGCTAGCTCTCATAAACTGTACATAATACAAAATCATTAGGGGAATGAGAGCGCAATCATATCATATTTTTAGGAGGCCTAAATACTAAAGTATCAGATGTACCACAATTTAAATTTTTAGTAATAAGGATCACAGATTAAATCAGTACTCAGAAACACACATTTTGCATCATGGATGTAGAAATTTGAATCTATGCCCAAATCCTTTGCGAAGACAGTGTTTTAAGAAATAAGTTTGCTCCTAGTTCATCTAGTTAAAAGTACCAGTAAAATTATAGTTGTATTTCTCTAAGATAACACCACTAAGAAATAAACTTTATGTGTATGAAGAGATTTTAAATACCATGTTGATGGATAGTGTGTACTGCTTCCAACATATTTTTCCAGTAACTCTTGCGTTCCCATGGATTGATCGATTTTTTCTTTTTAAGCCAACTATTAAGATCAATATTTCCACATTCCATTACCATGTAGATATACTGGTCTGTGATTTCACTGTAATTAAAAACAAATGAATAAAAGCAACAACACAATAAATAAATGTCTAGGTTATATTAATGAAGATTTAATAAGTATCTACCTTAAGTATTATAACAAAATAAGTTTTTAAATTAAAAAAGAATTCTTACTAATCATAAAGTCGGATGATCTTATCAGTGTGTTGTTGTAGTTTATTCAAATAAGCTATTTCATTCCGATAACTATCAATAGTTTGATTATCTGCTTCTTCTACATTCACATATTTAATAGCATATATCTGCTTCTTTTCATTCAACACCTGATATACCTATATAATACAATAAAATAATAAAAGTTTAGATTATGCCATTCATATACTATCACAAAGCTTTTAAATTTATAAGAATTTTAAGAAAATTCTGAAGGAAATATTGACATAAACAATTAAAAGTTTCTCAGTTTTTTCTTTTAATATAGAAGGAAAAAATTAATCATGAGAGTAAGAAACCATTTCCAACCACCTCTGACAATGGACATTCAGTAGTTCAAAGTCATAGGCTTAAAAGTTTCTATATCTTATCACATATATGATTAAAACAACTTTTTGAGGATACTTTAATCAGGGAAATATCATTTCTTAGATGTGTTTTTGTCCACTGTGTGTGGCATAGCTAATTCCTTATGTGCTGGAGGAAAAATATACTGTGCATGTGTGAGTGTGTGCATGCACACAATAATGGGGATCAAATCCAGAAGAACTTTATCCCACAGCTTGATGAGAAAGTTGATGAGGCTGGTCTCAAACTTTTGATCTTCCAGTCTCAGCCTTCTGAGGAACTGGGATTATAGGTATGTGCCACCACACCCTGTGTGATGGAAAATATTAAAAATATACATAGAAACTGCAAACTATCAGAATATTCTGTTGTGAAAGTAGAGTAGATCCAATCTTCAGAGTTAGGTTAACATAAAAGAGGTATTCTCACAAGTATATTTTTAGTATCTTTATAGTCAAGGTGAAATTGCTGTGGCTATAAAGGACAATTTCCAAGTAGTATTGATAGAACATGCTACTGTATCTAAATTTCAAAAATTAAAAAAATGCCAGTGTATAATGCTAGTATATTAAGCATCAGGGCCAGGGATATATACCTCAGTGATAGAGCACTTACCCAACATGTACAAGGGCCTAGGTTCAATCCCAAGCATTGCAAAAATAAACAACAAAAAATCATATTCATCTATTCTTTCTGACACATTGAAGTAAAACAGTCATTTAACCTTGATTACCCAGGAGATACCAGGAAGGAATAAGAAGAGTCCAAGTACTACGTATGAGGTCAATGTGCAAAAACTGCACTAATAAAAAAGATCTATCAAGCCTTCAAGCACAACTTATTTTTAATGTTTAGGTACAAAACTCTGAAACAAAGTATTATTGGTTTTACTTAGATACATAGCAAATTAAAGAGATGGGACATAAAACTGTGATAAAGTAAAAGGCAGCAAAAAACAATGAAACAGAGTAAACAAATTTAAAAACAGTACCATACAGCCATTTTGTAGAAGGCAATGAGCCTTGAAAATCTCAATGAGTTGAGAGAGCATTCTGTTGTGTCCTGCATGCAACACTGTTGCCCTGACCCAGCATCTTATTTGTATACTCTATTTAATAAGGCACACAGTGATATATTCATACAATGAAATAGTTTTGTACCATAATAAAAGATCACAGAAAATATTATACACACACACACACACACACACACACACACACTCACACCTATATAAATACAGAAATTAAGCAAGACTAGAAGGAAATACCTTCATTTGAATTCTAGTTTCACTGGATAAGCAATCTAACCTTGGGCCAGGTTCTCAATCTTACAAATTAATGCTGTTAGAACTTACTGTGCAGGGCTGGAAAGATGACTGAGATGCACAATATTGTGTAGTGTGTCTGAATTGAGCAAATTACCAGTCTTAAAGACATTCAGGACAGAATAAAGCGAATATTTTGAAATATGTTACAGTTGTCAGATCAGAAAAAAAGACCTGCAGGATATTATGACTATCTTAAGATCCAAAACTTTTGGAGCAAATGAAAAATTAAAAAAAAAAATGTGTGTTGTGTGTGTATGCATGCGTGCTCAAGTACGCCCACCATTACTCCCCCAATGTCCCGGGTTTGGGCAAAACTCTTAAAATAACCTACTGGACTAGGTGTGTCCTATTTTCACTTCACAGAGATAGTCTCAGATCTAGGATTCTGGGTTTGTTTGGGGGATAGTCTCACTCTATTGCCCAAGCAGGCCTTGAAGTTATGGGCACAGCTCAAGTGAGCCTCTGCCTCAGTTTCCCCAGCAGCTTGGACTATAGGTGCTCCAGATACAGGGGCTAACATCACTGAGCAAATCAAACATCCCAATCTTCTCAGAGCTCACATTTTATTGCAGGGGGACACAAAATAAGAAATCAAATAAATAAACAGAGCATCTAGCAGTGTCTGAGTTATGGCTTATCAGTTTCATGGGAAGATAATGAATGTAGAACTACATTAGGTAGACCAGTGTCTTGACCATTCTTAATAGCTCCATGACCATTCTAGATGTTCTTAATACAGTATGGCTGGTAATTTCCTAAAACTCACCTTCTTTGAGGCATGTTGATTTTTTCACTCCATCTTAATAATTAAATTGAATAATATAGTTGAATTCAGAAAATATGCACCATAGTTTCATCACATGACCATTAACTTAAATAAGCCAATAGCTTCATTATACTCCAAGGGAAAAAATGTTTAAAATACCTTTAAGACTACTACTCCTCATCCTCTGATAACATGCTATGAAATAAACACCTCTAACAAGTGTCAATAGCTTAACCCTATTATAGTAAAATGACAATGTAATGAATATTAGCCAAAGAATTTTAACCAAAGCAATTAAATCAAGAAATATAAACTGATAAAAACAAATGTGATTATTCCTTTATTCTCATGACTGAAATTTTATGTAAGTGTGGAGAAAGGAAATGTATAAAGTAATCTAACATTTACTGAAGACTTCCTACACATGGTAACACACATACCTTATTATTATTATTATTTTCCGTTTTGTTTGGGGCACTGGGGATTAAACCCAGGGCCTCACACATGCTGAGCATGCTTTCTACCACTGAACCACACCTCTAGTCTACATGCCTTAATAATCAGATAGCCTTAAGAAGTCCAGTTATTGTTAGTGCTCTTAGAAAATTACAGTAAAACAAGTCCAACAGCCTTTGTTTCATTTGTCACATAGCAACAGTAAAATAGCTAAGGAGAAATAGTTCACTTGACAAATTAATTTAGTCCCCATTCTGTTCCAGGTACTGTTGTAGATATCAGGGATAATGTCATTATGCAAATCAAACATTTCTTTCTTAGAGCTCACATTCAGTTACAGGGGAACACAAAACAACAAATCAAATAAACAAACAATAGCATGTTAGAAGATGAGTTAGAAGAGAAAAAGCAGCAAAAGGGGAATGGAGAACACCAGTGACTGCGACACAGGAGTTACAGTTTTAGAGTGTGAGGTGAGTAAAGCCCTAACTGAGAAGACATCTGGCGAGGACACGAGGATGTCTGGAGGAAAATCCACTGTTGTTAAATTAGATCAGAGGCAAGAACTGAATCAATGAGACTCATTCAGAGGTCACTATAATAAACCAAGCAAAAAGGCTTCAACCAAAGTGATAATATAGGTGAAACGACATTCTGGAGACACCTTCAGGTAGAACAAATAAAATTTGCAGATTGGCTGAATATGTATATGAGAATAAAAGAAGTCAACTTGTTTTCAGCCAAGCAGTTAAAAGATGGAGTTTCCATTTACTGAAATGGAAGACTATGGAACAATAGTTGTGTTTGGACATGTTGCCTGGTAATTAAGAAAAATATGGTGAGCAGTCAAATGAGATATAGAAGTCTAGAATTCAAAGGAAAGGTCTGACCTAAGACATCAGTTTGGAAATTTTGAGCATATACATGGTATTTAAAACCAGGAGACTAAAAGAAACCAACAAGGGACTCTCGAGAGAGGAGAAAAAAGGTCAAGGAACTGAGACTTGGGGCACTGCAACTATTAGGATCAGGGAAGTTGAGGAAGATTGAAAGGGAATGATCAGTTTTAAAAAATGAAAACAGAGGAGCCAAGTAAGTGGGTGGTGAGACATTTCAGTTTTCAGAAGAGAAAACAAAAACAAAAAATACCTCAGAACTACAAAGTAACCTAAAAATAAAAGGTAAGAATAAGATTTGGCAAAAATATTGAGGTCATTGGTGACCTTGATTATGGATATTCTGGTGCAAGATAAAGAAAAAAATTATTACAGTAGATTTAATAGAATGAAAATTAAAAATGTTATATATTGAGCTTGAAATAACTTTCATCCATAAAGAATAAAAATCATAAACTTAGAACTTGGGTAAATGAATTTTTTTAAACATTTTTTGTTGTTGTTGTTGTGAGTAGACACAATACCTTTGTTTTATTTTTATGTGGTGCTGAGGATCAAACCCAGTGCCTCACACATGCTAGGTGAACACTCTACCTCTGAGCCCCAGCCCCAGCCGGGATGGATGAATTTTTAAGTTCTTTGTAAATCCTGGAAATTAACAGTCTCTCTGAGGTGCAGGTAACAAAGATTTTCTCCCTCTTCATGTTCTTAACTGTTTTCTTTGCTGTGAAGAAGCTTTTTAGTTTGAAGTCATCCCATTTATTGATTATTGATTTTACTTCTTGCACTTTATGAGTATTGTTAAGGAAGTTAGTTTCTGAGCTGATATATTAGACCTACATTTTCTTCTAATAATTATGTGCAAAGTTTCTGGCCTAATTTCTAGGTATTTGATCCATTTTGAAATGAGTTTTGTGCAGTGAGAGACACGAGTTAAATTTCATTTGATTTTTCTGTTCCATTGGTCTTCTTGCCTATTTTGGTGCCAATACCATGCTGTTTTGTTACTATAGCTCTATTGTGCAATTTAAGGTCTAGTATTATGATGCCTCCTAATTTGCTTTTCTTACTAAGGATTGCTTTGGATATTCTGGGGCTCTAATTTTTTTCCAGACAAATTTCATGAGTACTTTTTCTATTTCTTTGAAGAACATCATTGGAATTTTGATAGGAATTGCACTGAATCTGTATATCACATTTGGCAGTAAGGCCATTTTAACAATATTAATTCTGCCTATCTAAGAACATAGGAGGTTTTTCCATCTTCCAAGGTCTTTCTCAATTTCATTCTTTAGTGTTTTAGTTTACATTGCAGAAGTCCTAATCCAATCAATAAATGGGCAAAGGAACTGAACAGACATTTTTCAAAGAAATACGAATGGTCAACATATACATAAAAAAATATTCAACATCTCTAACAATTAGAGAAATGTAATTTAAAACTACACAGAGATTCCACCTCACTCTAGTCAGAAAGGCAGTTATCAAGACTACAAGTAACAATAAATGTTGGCAAGGATGTGGGGAAAAAAATACACTCATACATTGCTGGTAAGACTGCAAATTAGTGCAACCACTATAGAGATTCCTCAGAAAACTTGAAATGGAACCACCATTTGACCCAGTTATAGCACTGCTCAATGTATACCCAAAGGACTTAAAATCAGCATACTACAGTGATGCAGCCACATCAATATTTATAGCAGCTCAATTCACAATAGTTAAGCTATAGAAACAAACTAGGTGCCTTTGAACAAACAAATGGATAAAGAAATTGTTGTTTGTAAACACAATGGAGTATTACTAAGCCACAAAGAAGAATGAAATTATGACATTTGCAAATAAATGGATGGATGTGGAGACTCTCATGCTAAGTGAAATAAGCCAGTTCCAAAAAGCCAAAGGTCCAATGTTTTCACCAATGTGTAGAAGCTAACCCACAATGAGCAGGGAGAAGAGTAGTTCAGTGGATTAGACAAAGGAAAATAAAGGAAAGTGACAGGAGATATAAAAAGGGAAAACAATGGAATGAATCCAAAATGATTTTCCTGTGTACTGATATGAATATACCAGTGAATCCCACCATCATGTGGATCTATAAGAAAGGGGTACTAACTAGAATAAGATATATTCCATGCTTGTATAACTATAACAAATGAATTCTACTGCCATGTATAATGAAAAAGAACCAATAAAAATAAACTAAAAAAAAAAAAAAAACAGATGAATTTAGGAAATAATCTAATTCCAGAAACTCATTATTAAAATGTTTTTGAGAGCTGGGATTGTAGCTTAGTGGTAGAGCACTTGCCTAGCATGCGTGAGGCACTGGATTTGATACTCAGCACCACATAAAAATAAATAAAATAAAGGTATCTCCAACAACAAAAACAAAAAATTTTTTTTAAAGTTTTTGAAATGAAAAAATCCATTAGCAGAAATCCTTGCTGAATAATCCTAAAGCTACTAGTAATTCACATCATGTTCTGAGCTACATTTAGCAAGATACTTCTGAGGTAATACATAGCGGTCCCTTTGCCACTCTACGTCATTGTTTATGCATAAGACATTTGGGAGCACAAGATATTGGTTGGAAAGGCTTGCAATTGGAACTAAGGTGCAAGTCTAAAGAGGATATATAGTTTTTAGGGGAAGGAAAAAGGCAGAAAAATGAGGCTTTTTGGCTCAAGGGAAACATGGGCTCTCAGGAGTTTAGAAAAAAAAAGAGTCTCTATGGCTAAAGAGACAAAGTTTAAAATATTTTTATTCATTTCTTAAATATTTAAGATACTTACCTTACTTGAACCTCCACTGCCTATCTGTTTTAATATGGAATAAATTCTTCCTCTGACTGAAATGCATTCGTTTGCTGAAGAGGATCCCGAAATCTAAATAATTAAAAATACCAATAATGGTTCAAAGTGTATGCTTAAGAAACTAGCTTGCATTTGGTACAGTGAAATACTCTCAATTTTGAAATTATCTGAAGTAATGAGACATATTAGAATATTTTATAAAGGGAACTTGCTCTGCATACTTTAATCAAAGCAATATACTTCTTAATACATAAACTTCAAAGGTCTTCCCTTTAACTGGTTTTTACTTAACATAAGTAGAAAATTTAAGAGGAAAATATCAGTTAATATTCAACAAACTCATATACACTATCATTTTTTATCTTTTTCCTCATACCTCTTTATTTCCATATATACAAATACAATTACACCTATATTCTTTCTCATTTAACATTATTTACAAAGGAAAAGAATGTGCTAAGGTACTGAGAGCCTAGTCCATCAGACAAATGCAAATTTCAATAAGGCCTGCTTCCCAGCTATGCCTTGAGTGATGTTCAACAAGTTACTTGATTTCTCTGAACTTCAACATCTTGCCCAGCAAACTTTCAACCCATGTCCTATCATCCCTTTCATCCTTCCCTCATGTGAAAGGACCTCTCTGTGTACCTATATATGCTTTTAATAGATGGTGTGGTGAGAGGACTAACTGAAAGAAGCTGAAACAAAAAACTTGCAATTAGCTGATTAACAAACTGGAGCAGAGGCTGCATAATATTCAACTGAGTTCAGTTTTTTATTCCAAATGACACAATCTTTCTCACATAATCTCCTATATAAATAACAAGAATTCTAATTTTTCTAATCTCTAGGATTAAAAAGAAATTGAGGTCTGGGGCTGGGGCTCAGCGGTAGCGCACTTGCCGGGCATGTATGAAGCATTGGGTTCAATTCTCAGCACCACATATAAATAAATAAAATAAAGGCCTATCAACAACTAAAAAAAAATTTAAAAAAAAAGAAATAGAAATGTTTCCTGTAAGAAAATATTAGGCTTTGAAATATGTATATGCTGTAATTTCATAAAGGACACTCCCTCTTCCCTTTTATGTCCTCTATACATTTCTTAGGAAAGAAATCTATTCCCTATCTTTGCCTCCCAACTGCTGCCAGCTTTTAGAATAACTAACTCTAAATTTTTCTAATTCAATACCATTGTAAGGTTCAGTTTCTGGCCCAGGACATCCTCCTCCCACTTAGTCTACCCTCTTCACTAAGGTCAGAATTTTCAAAATGCAAATCAGAATATTTTACTCCCCTGCTTCCTTTCTTGTACAATTTCTTATCCTCATTAGGATAAAACCTAAAAGTCCCAGCAGAACTATGGGGCTCACCCCTTGCCCTTCCTGAGCTCTCACCACACTCTTGCCTCCCTGCAGTTCTCTCCTGACACTGAGCCTCCTCTAATAGGCTCCACAATCACCTCTCGACATCTCTCACTCACTTTCTAAATAGATTTGTCTTAAACAGGGTCTGATAGTAGTAATCACTCAATAAATATATTCTGAATCAGTGTACAGCAAACCTGATCATTTTTCTTTCTCATTATTTATTTTGGTACTGGGGACTGAACCCAGGGGCACTTAATCACTAAGCCACATCTCTAGCCACTTCTTATATTTTTATTTTGAGACAGAATCTCACTAAGTTGCTAAGGCTGGCTTTGAACTCACAATCCTTCTGCCTCTAACTCCCAAGCTGCTGAAATTACAGGAGAGCACCGCCATGCCCAGATAAAATTTATTTTATTTTTGAATCCTCAAAATACTATCATCTCTTTCCACAGTTTATATACTTTTTTTTTGTAAACAGCATTTTATTTATGTATTTATTTTTGCAACATTGGCAATTGGCCCAGGGGATGACCTACCACTGAGCTACATCCCCAACCCTTTATTTGTTTTTTAAATTTTAAGGCAGAATCTTTTAAGATGGTGGGTGATGTTGAGGATGTGGCTCAAGTGGTAGTGCGCTCACCTAGCATGCGTGAGGCACTGGGTTCAATTCTCGGCACCACATAAAAATAAAATAAAGATATTGTGTTCACCTAAAACTAAAAAATAAATATTAAAAAATAAATAAATATTTTTTTAAAAAAAGGCCAGCCTCGAATTGTCAGTATCCCCTACCTCAGCCTTCTGAGTCACTGGGTTTAGAGATGTGTACCACCATGTTCAGCTAGTTTATATAATCTATTGCCAGTTGGTTTTTTTGTTCACAACTTTTTAAAATGGTGTCAAAATATACACAACCTAAACTTTACCTTTTTAATCATCTTTAAATACAATTCAGTGGCATTGAGTACATTCACATTATTATGTAAACATCTCCATGATCTTTAGAATTTTTTCATCATTGCACACTGAAACTTTATACTCATAGGTAATAACTGCCCATTCCTACCATCCCATACTGATAACCTCTGTCAATTTTTTTCAAGTGGCGTTCATAGGTATTAATCTCTTTTTTGTGTTTTGCTTAAATAACAATTATGGCTAAGTGCAGACTATAATCCCAGCAACTCAGGAGGCTGAAGCAGGAAAACAGCAAATTCAAAGCCCGCCATAGCAATTTAACAAGACCGTCAGCAACTCAGTAATACCCCATCTCAAAATAAAAAGTAAAAAGGACTGCAAATACAGCTCAGTGATAAAGCATCCCTGGGTTCAATCCCCAGTACCAAAAAAACAGTTACAAATATATTAACAAATATAATCTTCACAACCATATTATGAGGTAGTAGCTTATCTTTCCCATTTTATAGATGAAAAAATGAACACAGAAAATTTACATAACTTGCAAAAAATGACACAGCTAACAAGCAGGAAAGCCAAGACTCATGCCCAGTCAGTGTACAAGGCCCATGTTTTCTACCAGTATTAGAATCACTAATAAACAAATTAGAGTCACTAATAAACAAATTTTAGTTACTGGTGTCAAGGGTGTCTAATTATTTTTTCAAATGACAATACAATTGACTCACCAGCAAAATTTTTTGTTAGCTTAACCTCAATTATCAGAGAAATTTTATTCAACTAGTCAAACTGGAGCTGAATTAATGATAAAAGCTTCATTAGTTTCTTTAATAACTAACCTCTCAATAACACAGAGCCCATACTTATTGGAATATCAAAAAGGTTTGGCTTATTTGGAATAAAAATGAAAAGATCTTGAAGACTTTTTGTTAAAACTATTTCAATACTGTAAAAAAATAAACTCTATGAAAGTGATTAACATATACTATCATAAACAAAGTTTAATGAACCTGTAAGTTTTGAAGAGGAGTAGCGAGCACTTGCTGCTGCTGCTGCTGCTGTTGGAAACAGGCAAGCCGGCTGTATGGTGTTGATGACGGACATGCAGGTGGAAAATCATTCTTTACAACTGGAGTTCTAAAACTAGGAAAGCATTTTTTTTTCTTACTTTAAAATACAAGACTCTGATTAAGCTTTCATGTATTTTGAAAGGTTGATTTATACTTAAAAGTGCTACAAAGAGAACCCAAGTTAGTTTTCAAAATATAATTGATTTTTATTTTAAGTTACACCACCACTACCAGATATTTTATTTTGGGAATTCTTTCTGAAATAAATTTTTTGTTCCAATAAGAAATCTTTGTCAGTAAAATAAATAAGATGGCAAGCTAACAGATGCGGTTAGGACTATTTTGTAAGAATTTAGTCAAAGCACAAGATCATTAATGACTCATGATAAATTTTATGAGTGTTTTTAAATAGTACAATGTTATATAATGGTTCTCTAGAAATATCTGAGAGCCAATTATATCATCAGAGGAGTTTGGCCCTTGACTTTGTATCTGTTCAGTATACTTTGGCATTTTCTCCTGTTTGCTATTATATCTTCAATAGCTAGAACAGTATCAGGCACCAAGGAGGTCTACAAATATCTATTAACAATAAGTGATCTAGTATCATAAGAAATACCTACTAATTATTTTAGCTAACAATCAAAGATAAGATATTCTACATATAGTAAAAAGAAGCAATATAGCAAATTTATATTAAATAATAAGATTCTGGTTTATAAAAGGCCGGTTCTAATTATGATCAAAGATAACATGATGGAAATGAAAAGCCAAAGGCACCAAGGACATAAATTGTCCCCTAAAACATTATAAATACTTTAAAAGTACATGTACTGGCTGAAGGTTATGATGTATATTTTTTCTTTGAAATGTCATTCACTTGTTTTTGCAATATCCCTCATGCTTCCTGTTAATCAGCACTGACCACACTATTTCTTCACTCATCCCTCATTCCTATCCACTCAAGGCTTACACTTTTGAATAGCTGAACTATGTGAACGATTCCATCGATCTCTTCCAGAAATTATCACATTCCAATTAACACTTACTGTGCTAAAACATTTATCCACCTTTATCTACTCTAATCTCCCTTTAAAATATCTCTCAGAAAGGCAGCCATGTTGAAACACACGGTTATCAAGAAAGTTTACGTCCTTAGACACAGTTATCAAGAAAGTTTACGTCCTTAGACGCTTTACAGTTTGTAAATACAGGTTATAATATTGCAAAGATTATGTGCATAGCAATAGTTAAAAATACATATTATTATAATGATCTTCCTCTTCACATTTTACAGATGAATAAACAGAAAAATTAACAGAGCAGGAATCAACTTTTTGGCCCCAAAGCTTCTTATTTCTATCTTATCACCCTGAATGCTGAGTGACGTATTAAAAGTAATTACCAGCTCATGTAATCATCCAAGGTATTGCTACTGGGCGTCTGACAAATAGATTTTGGATCAATCCATTTAGGTGCTGACATTGGAGGTGACTGCTTTGAAAATGAAACGACAGGCTGCTCAACAGTGGCATGTTTCTGCTAAAAGAAAATTTCAAAGACAATGATTCAGAGTTTTTAGTCTTCTGTTCAATAGTTTTACAAACATTATAACTTTTAAAAGAAAATAAGAATATAAAAAACAAAAGCATACTAAAACAGGTAGGCACATATATTTTAGACTTTCGATAACTTTATAGTATAGCTTTTACTCCAAACTCTTAAACCTAACATATTCTGCCCAAACTCATTATAAGTATGGTATACAAAATTGTTTAACAAATAAGGACCTAAGATCCTTCCCTGATCAGACCTATTATACCAGGTATTAAACTTCTGTACTCTAAAACAGCAGGGACTGGTAATACAGCTCAATAGTAGAGCCAATGCTTAGCATACATGGGGTTTTTGGTTCAATCCCAAGTATTAAAAAAAAAAAAAAAAAGTTATTTAATCAATAAGAATACATCACACCCCCAAATGTAGCCAAATATTAATGATTTAGTAAAAATTGGAATAGCAAATTCTTGTGTTCCTATCTCTCATAAGAGACAGAGCCTGCAGAATTCATCTCATACAAATCTCAAAGAAGATGAACATCCTCCACAGCAGGGATCATCAAGTTACAGCTTACAGACTAAATCTGTCCTGCCAACTAATTGTGCAAAAAAAGTTTTATTGGAATATGTCTATGCCCATTTGTTTACATATGATCTATAGCCATTTTCATGTTCTAATGTCAGAGTTGAAAAGCTGCAACAAAGACCATGTAGCCTGCAAAGACTACTAACCCTCTACAGAAAGTTTACGAACCCCTGTGCTAATGCATCTTAGCCAAATGGGGACCCCTATTTTGCTCAAAAACTCTTAGTAACTAAACTCTCTATGAAGGTTCACTTCATGATGGGGACAGTTTTAGTTTTATAAAATATTTATAGTTACTTCGATTAAAGTGAAATTCAACCCATGGTTCCACTTTATGCTCTTGAGAACCGCAACAGATAAATCTATTCTACTGTCAACTCCACACTATAGTCCATTTATGTTTTGAAGAAGGCTTAAAAAACAACAAAAAATGCCACTTAACTATTTAACAAAAGAAAATACTTCACATATCATCAAAGTTCAGAAATACATTATGAGCAATAGCAACACTGTACTTTAAGGCAAAAGAAAGTTACCTCTATATCAGTCTTTGGGGTTACATTTGGAATATGCCACTGATTTGAAAAGCTAACAGGATTCGGGTTCACACATCCTGACTTCCTCTTAGATTGCCATTGTTTCTGATTACTTTCTGGAACCTTTGGTTCTTGGTGTTCTTTCATTTCTGAAATTGTATTTGTTGTTGTCATTAAAAATCAAGAATATATGATGATAACAATACTAAATCACGGCATGGTGGCACCTGGCTGTAGTCCCAGGTACTTAGAAGGATAAGGTGGAGGCTCATATGAACCCCTGAGTGTGTGATCGGCCTGGGCACCACAGCAAGACCCCCTGTTTCAAATAAACTAGAGAATAAAAACTAGGCCTAAGAAAATAGAACATGTTACAAAACTATTTGAATTTAGCTTTTAAAAACAGAAAAAAGATAAATTAAAAGCTTTAAGCTAGCCACTGACAATATGCTTTTAGCAAGTCAATTTTACAAAGCTGCAACACTGCCACCTAACTAAACTGTTACTCAAAGAGTTTTTTCAGACCATTCCAGACTTAAATGCTTCTGTTGATACCAGTAAACATAAATAAAAAATTTAAAACACACACATTATAAAAATCTTACTAATAAAGAGAAAAGAATTCATCACTTTTCATGGTTTAACATAAAAATTTTACTTTATACTAGCCAAGAATTTACTCTCTTAAATGTCTGTATACAAAAATACCTCAATAATATATTTAATATAAATCATAAAATTTCTTTCATGATCATAGATTCAAAAATCCTAAACAAAATACTAGCAAAAATAAGTTGTATACAAATTGGCTTTATCCCTAAATGCAAAGTTCAGTAAAGTTAGCAATGTCAAAGTGTCTAAATAAGATCAATAAACATTAGCAAAAGGGTAGAAGACTTTTTAAGTTCTCATTCATTATCAAAGCATTGAAAAATATCAGATATCCTAAAATAAATCCAGCAAAAGATCTCTACACAGAAAAGGATTCTCACTATTTTAAATGAAAGGATGTGTTAGGTTAGTAGGCTGGAAAGGAGGACACTTAAGATGTCAATTTCTCCCAGATTTCCTTAATAGGTTCAATTAGATTTCAGTTAAATTTCCAGTTTTAAAAAAATAGAAACTGACACAGAGATTCTGGTATTTATATAAAACTCCAAAAGTCTTTAAGCCAAAATATCTTTGAATAACAAAGCTGGAAGATTTATACTGACAGACATGAAGATCAGTAATGAAGAGAGTATTAACATAAAGACAAAAGAAAACTACGGAATGGAACAGACTCCAAACCAGACACCTAGAACTACCTAATTTACAACAACTCAGAAAAGTCTAAGAGGATCTTTTCAAGAAATGCTGTGATGTCCGTATGAGAAAAAAATAAAACTTGGCACTTGATCTTACAGGTATACAAATATTTCCAAGTTAAATATAAATCTAAATATGAAAGGTAAAAAAACACTGTCTAATAAATATGAAATTATCTTTATGACCTTGACATAGAGAAAGATTTGATTAAAACACGGAAAGAACTCAACACAAAGTCAAAGGTTAATAAATTAAGTGCAGCAAAATTAAGAAATTTGGGCTGGGGTTGTGACTAAGTGGTAGAGCGCTTGCCTCGCACGTGTGAGGCACTGGGTTCAATCCTCAGAACCACATATAATAAATAAAAGTATTGCATTTATCTACAACTAAAAAAAAATGTAAAAAGAAAAAAATTAAGAATTTCATTTTATCAAGTCTTCACCACAGAGGGGAGAAGTTACTTGCAATATATATCCAACAAAGTATATTTATATCATATAATACTTCTTTAAAAATCAGTGAGGGCTGGAGATATAGCTTACTAATGGAATGCCTGCTCAGCATGCACAAAGCCTTGGGTTCCATCTCCAGCACTGACAAAAAAACCCCCAAATAAATAAAAACAAAAGTAAATGAGAAAAAGAAACAAAAATCAATAGAAAAATTATCAAAACTCAAGTATTTCACAAGAGAATATTAAAGTAGACAGTTAACATAAAGATGTTCAATAGCAGACAGTAAAGAAATACTAATTACCAGTCAAGGGTCAGTATAACCACTTTGGAAATTTTGGCACCATTTACAAAACCTGAGCAAATCATCCCTGTGTCCCAACAATCCCACTCTTAGAATACACTCAATAGAAATATGTGCATATGGGAATCAAAGACAAACCAAAAATATCTAAATCATCATTACTTAGTAGATAAAAAGTTATTTTCCATAAATATTTGGATAAATTATAGTATATTATGGTTTGGCTGATGTGAAAGCACCTGTGTTAAATTATGAGAGCTGTAACCTCATCAGTCCCTCAAACGTTGACAGAACAAATAGGATGATAACTATAAGCAGGTGGGGCATGGCTAGAGGAGGTAAGTAAAGCAGGGCATGCCTGGAAAGGTCCATCTTCGCTGCAGCTCCCTCCCCTTGCTTTCTGTTTCCTGGCCAACACCATTAAAGCAGCATTCCTCCTTCAGGCCCTTCTGCCATGATGCTCTACCTTACCTTGGGCCAGAGCAAATGAGTCAGTGGCCCATGACTGATCCTCTGAAACCACAAGCCAAAATGAATTTTTCCTCCTATAAGTTGTTCTTGTCAGGTATTTTGGTCACATCAATAAGAAGCTAACACAAAATATATTCAATATAAAGAAGCTGGGCATGGTGGCCCACACCTGTAATTCTAGCAACTCAGGAGGCTAAGGCAGGAGGATCTCAAGTTTAAGGCCAGCCTCAGCAACTTAGCAAGAACCGGTCTAAAGAAAAGAATAAGAGGGGAAAAAAAAAAAAAAAAGGACTAGAGATACATCTAGCTCAATGATAAAAAACAATAAAAATATCAGATGCCATAAAAGTGTGGATGAGTTCCATAAACAATGGGTGATGAATGAAGCAGACACAAGAGAACAGACTATATTTCATTCAATGCAACCTGCTTGGGACCTTGTCTTACTCATTTACATACCCCTAGAACATTTATCACAGTATCCATGGAGTGAAAAATCAACTGTCAGATCTAAAATGAGAGGGAGGGCTATCAGACAGAAACAGCTTCTATGTCCTTTCCAGAAATCATCTGTCAAGCCAACTGAAAACATAACTTAGTTCCATTTTCTTTTCCTTCTTCTCTTCCTTTTAGACAAATAAACTTCCTTTGCTACAAGATGCAATACTTTCCATGCACTCTATATACCTAAACTGAAATACAAGGTAAAGGAAGACAGACGCTATTTCATATTGCAATTCTCACATTCAGTTATAATCTGCTTTCTCCAGGTACAAAGTGGCCTTCTTAAAGAAATAAAATGTTTGTATTCTGTCACTCTTACCTTCTAATTTATTTAGAAGACTCGATTCAGTTTTATTCTTCAGGGTTATTGAATCAGTAATAAGTTCAGAACTCTTTTCATCTGACTCCACAGGTTCCTTGGAAAGGATATTTTTAACAGACTATATGGGGAAAAAATTTTCAAATAAAGTCCCATGAGTAGTAGTAATAATTTGACTTATTGTTAAATATACTAGAATCTTCTTTATGTGAAAAGATTCACAAACTCCCAGTACATAAACTTCTATTAAGAAACTACTGATTGTCTGAATTGTTTATTAGAGCAATAGGAAGGATCATAACCATAAATTAGGCCAATTTTCTTCCAAGGGACATATTGATCAATTGCTAAAATATATTTCACATAAAATAATAAGCCTCATCAAAAATAACAGCATTCATAAAAATTAACATGTGCATAACTCTTAAGACAGAAGTTCTAAATCCAGAGAGTAAACTTCTGAGACACAATTACACACTATGCTCTGAGATTGTTGGGATTAGAAAAAAAATATTTTAAAGCATAGGTCATGAAAAAATGGCATTATAAAAATTATAATACTGAAAAGATAATTATTCACATTACAATGCCAGGGTCTTACAGTATAATAAAAATCATACTGTACCAGGAAAATAAATGTATTTCCTGCCTTTGAAGTTCATACAGAGTTGCTCTGCCATATTAGAAGTTTTGACCATTTTTGCCCTCACCTTGGCCCTCACATACTTTGGTTTTTGTTTAAGATGCCTTACCAGAATCACATAATTAAAGGAAACCGGGGAATAATAGTTTCCCCAATTATCCCCAAATACAGGCCCATTAATCTGATTAAATCCATGCCTAATAAATGTTACTTCATGGTTTTCCTAAGAGATAGCTGATCCTCACTCTATCACCTTAATCTTCAAGAAACATATCTAGGACTTCTGTACCACTTCCCATTAGTGGTCCCACATCTCTTTGTTTGAGGAGAAACTATTAGAGACATAAACTTTGTATCCTTTCCCCAGAAAAATCTCCCTGATAGATCAGGAACTCTTACTTCATATAAAGATTTAAAAAGTAAAATACCTTTAAACTTCTCCTTTCGTGGGAATCCTTTCCACTTAGTTTAGATACAGCCACATTCAAATCTCGGCATTCTGATCCAGGCACATTCAAATCTCGGCATTCTGATCCAGAGATCTGTCTATTTCCCATGAAACAAAATAATTTCCACATTTAATTTGAAATTACTTTTAATGTATTTATTCACTTTAAAGTTGGTTTTTTAAAACAAATTATATATTTAATTGGAAAAATTCTCTCTTAAAAAGTCATTAGATAACTGATTCTAACATAAAGGTAACTATGCCAAAAATTATATAAAATGACAAATGTGATAAAGAGATAAGTGATTGCCAACATCTTCATTACATATAAGCAACAGCTGGAGTTAAGGTAAGCATGTGGGAAAGGAGAAGTATGTAGGTAAACCTAGATTTCAAATGGCAAAAAGCTTTAAGGATAAGAGCCAGGGATGAATACTTTTGTGGGCACCTCCACAGTATCTAACATGCAGGCTATCACAACAATAGGAAAAATATGGCTGGAGTTTGGGGAGACTTTTGTTTTTATTTTTGTTTTGTTTTTGAATAGGAGTGAGAGAAAGTGTCCTTCATATTTCAATGATATATTTGAAATGGAGCAATAAGATGAAATAAAGATTATGAAGCTTAACCTTAACAAAATGCCTTTTTAATATTAGTATTGAGTCAAGTCCTAAATTAATTATTGAAAACATTGGTTAAAGACAATCAATTGTGTTTCCCAAGTTTATTTGCAAAATGATTCTCTGGAATCCAAGGAGCCTTTTCCATCTAATCATATTACAAATGGTGGCTGCAGTTAAGAATAAATCAGAAACACTACTTTAGTTGAGACAAAATATTATGTTCCTGTTTCTTCTAAGGAAATAAGCACTCAAATTGAGGGGACAGGAACATATTGGATGTGATGAATAATATTTCACTATCTATTTTTGTTATTGTTGTTCTTAATCAAAGAGTCAGGGGTATTACCCTGCTGCTCAGGCTGGCCTGAACATCTGGGTTCAAGGGATCCTCTTGGCTAACCCTTCCCTGTAGCTGGGACTATGGGTATGTGCCAATGCACCCTTCTGGCAGCTCATTAACCTGTTCTGTCTCTTTTGTCTATGCTGGGCTTGAACCCAGGACCTTGTGCACTTTAAATACATGTTCTACCAGAGCTATCATCAGCCCCAATTCTTGAAGCTCTCATTAATTAACTCCCACTGATTCATCCCCTTGAAATAGCTGGAAAAGACATTTATTCACACCTTCTACCACGCTAAAGACTTCAAATGCTCTAGAAAGAATCTTATCAGAGAAGCTACTCATAAACAAGAAATGCTCAAATATAGAAATTTTAATTCCACCAGTGTATGTAGCCATTTAAGCTTCATGTTAATACTTTTTTAATAACATGTTTCCTAATAAAACATGTTTTTAAATAATTCTTTGAGTGAATATTTTTAATGAGTGAAAAGGCAAAAAAAAAAAAAAAAAGAAAGAAATCAGTTTTACTACTCATTGTTTTGTTCCTGACAGAACAAAAAGGTTACAATAAAAAACTCAGTAACTCCTAATACTGAAGAAAATTTACACTCAATTACTATTGCTAACAAAAAAACTTGAAGACCAAATATAAACAAATTTAAAAAGTTAAAATTCAAACATACCTTTTTGTAAAACTTGGCACAGCTGAATTATCTGTCTTCATGTGATAATCTGGGCTATTTAGAAGGTTAACTGGGACTCTTCCAAATGGGCACGACTAAAAATGTTTTGAAAAATTAAGTAACCACTGGGAAATAAAGGCTTCAGTACCACCTTGATCAAAGCAAATCAAAAATAACTTACCCGTTTAGTTTTGTTAGATTGTTTCAAGGGATTTCGATGACCTACTTCTGCATCTTGTGGGGGTATGTTCTCTCTAGAGGAAAAGAAAATATCCCCAATTTCTCAAATATGGATATGTATTTCCACTTACTGCTAAATAGTGTTATCATACTTACGTGAAACATGTATGTAGGCATATTTATATAAAATGAGCATGTAAATCTGATTCAGTTTTCTTACCCATACAAAAACCTGGCTTTAGGAGCCTGTCCTCTGGAATCACAACTAATGTTCCTATTCTGTAAATGTCCAAGCGAACTGGCGAATGATTCTCGAGCGGTTAGTACTATAGGTGCTGTAAAAATTTCAAAACTATAAGTAAATTATAACATGTAGAATACATAAAAAAGTAATTTCACAAATAAGAATACTTTAAAAGTCAATTTATAATACATACTCTCCTACATGTAAGATATATAGACATGAAGATATTATTAAGATAATTGTAAGGACCACTTGAGATTCTCCTTAAGTATATAACTGTCTTTCAAGTTAAAAAAAATTATCTATTTCTAAAACAAAATTACAGTCTCTTGCTTAGATCAAGTTATTTTTAATGTGTTACCAATGAAATTTTGATTAGGATAAAAAGATAAATTTCAACAAGTACTAAACATTGTTTTACTTCTAAGAGTTTTACCTCCTTTACAGTTGCAATTTAATCTTATATTTTAATCCTTTTATAGAAATATTTTTCTATAAAATATCATCTGGAATCCTTAATTTGAACTGCTACCTACTCAGAAATGTATTAGCATACTATAGTTACCTGATAAACTCTTCTTTTCCTCCTCTGAAAGTAGCTGCACTTTTTGGAGGTTTAAATTACGGATGGCAATTTCCAGCATTTCTAGTGGTACTGCTCCACTTTCTACAGCTTTATGAAGAAGTTGTTTACTTTTTTTTAAATTGCCTAACAAATAAAAAATAATTATCATTTTATGAAATGGTCTTCACCCCTACCCCTAGGTATTTATTTATTCATCAGGACCTAGGATAAAAATTTAAGACATCCAAAACTATTTCTTCCAAGATTCATGCACATTATTTCATAGGCAAATAAGCAATCTCTCATTTCTCATGAATAAAATTAACCTTTCTGATAAGAATTCATGTTAAAATGATTTTATTGGGAAATGTAATATTGATATAACTGTATTAATTTATCATCATTGTTATTTTCAGAATTAAGTTTAATGTAGTAGAAAAAAAAAGATGACCCATAGGCCAATTACAGCAGTTAGAAATGTGAGGAAATGATAAGATGCTCAAGTAGTCCTAAGAGCACACCATAAGTATCATTCATAATAACAGTCAATAAGGAAGGTTGATATCTTTTGCTAAAAGGACCCTTCCATCAAAACAATTTGTGTATAAACAATGTAAAGGTTAACCTGTAGCTGCCAGACTTAGCTATCAAACTTATCCCTAGAATATGATTTATAAATATTAAATGTGTATATAATGTATCTTTTAATATGTTATCAATGTTTATTGGAGCCATTAAGCTATGATGCTATGCACTTGACAAGATGATTAAGATACCCTCTACTTTCTAGATATTACCCTGCAGATCATAATAAATGAAATTAGAAATCAATGATAAAATGAAAAATCAAAGCTACTCCAACACTTGGAGACTAAATAATATGCTACTAAAAGAACAATGGGATACAAAAGACATCAAGGAGATTAAAAAATTATTAGAGTTGAATGAGAACACAGACACAATGTATCAAAATCTGTGGGACACTATGAAGGCAGTACCCAGAGGAAAGTTCATTGCATGGAGAGTTCATTCCTTCAAAGAAAAAAAAATCATCAAATAAATGACTCAACATTTCATCTCAAAGCCCTAGAAAAAGAACAAATCAATAAATACCAAAAGCAGTAGAAGACAGGAAATAATTAAAATCAGAGCTGAAATCAATGAAATTGAAACAAAAGAAACAACTGAAAAATTTGACAAAACAAAAAGTTGATTCTTTGAGAAAATAAAATTGACAAACTCTCAGCCATGCTAACAAAGAGAAGGAGAGAGAAAACTCAAATTACAAACATACATGATGAAAAACATACATAATGACGGACATTACAGAAATACAGAAGATAATTAGAAATCATTTTGAAAACTTCTACTCCAATAAAATAGAAAATATCAAAGGCATCGACAAATTTCTAGAGTCATATGATATGCCAAAATTAAATCAGGATGATATATAGAATTTAAACAGATAATTTCAAGTGATGAAATAAAGACTCCATCAGAAGCCTACCAACCAAGAAAAGTCCAAGACTGGATGGACACACAGACCTTTAAAAAATAACTAATACCAATACTCTTCAATTTATTTCAGGAAACAGAAAAAGAGGGAACACTTCCAAACTCATTCTATTGAGGTCAATATCATTCTGATTCCAAAACCAGGCAAAGACACATGAAAGAAAGAAAACTTCAGCCCAATATCTCTAATGCATATAGATGCAAAAATTCTCAATAAAATTCTGGCAAATCAAATACAAAAACATATCAAAACATAGTTCACCATGATCAAGTGGGGTTCATCCTAGGGATGCAAGGTTGGTTCAACATATGGAAATCAATAAATGTAATTCATCACATCAATAGACTTAAGAACCATATGATCATCTCAATAGATACCGAAAAAGCATTCGACAAAATATAGCACCCCTTCATGTTCAAAACGCTAGAAAAACTAGGGATACCAGGAACATATCTCAACATTGTAAAAGCTATCTATGCTAAACCCCAGGCCAACATCATTATAAATGGAGAAAAATTAAAGCATTCCCTCTAAAAACTGGAACACAAAAGGGATATCCTATTTCACCACTTCTATTTAACATACTTTTGGAAACACTGGACAGAGCAAATAGACCAAAGAAATTAAAGAGATAGATAGGGAAAGAAGAATTCAAATTAGCACTATTTGCCGATGATATGATTTTATACCTAGAAGACCCAAACAATTCCACCAGAAAACTTCTAGAAATAGGAAAATGAGTTCAGGAAAGTAGCAGGATACAAAATCAACATCCATAAATCAAAGACATTTCTGTATATCAGTGGCAAATCCTCTGAAAGAGAAATAAGGCAAACTACCCCATTTACAATAGCCTCAAAAAAATAAAATAAAATACTTGGGAATCAACCTAATAGAAGAGGTGAAAGATGAATGCTAAAGAAAGAAAATAAGAAGACCTGAGAAGATAGAAAGATCTCCTTTGTTCTTGGATAGGCAGAATTAATATTGTCAATAACCATACTACTACCAAAAGCATTATACAGATTTAATGCAATCCCAATCAAAATCCCAATGACATTCCCCATAGAAATAGAAAAAGCAGTCATGAAATTCATCTGGAAAAATAAGAGACCCAGAATAGCTAAAGCAATCTTTAGCAAGAAAAGTGAAGCAGGAGGTATCACTATACCAGACCTTAAACTGTACTACAGAGCAAAAGTAACAAAAACAGCATGATATTGGCACCAAAACAGACTGGTAGACCAATGGTACAGAATAGAGAAAATGGAGACTAACCCACATAATTAAAGTTATCTTAGATTAGACAAAGGCACCAAAAATGTACTTTGGAGAAAGATAGCCTCTATAACAAATGGTGCTGGGAAAACTGGAAATCCATATGCAACAAAATGAAATGAAACCCCTATTTCTCATCATGCATAAAACTCAACTAAAAGTGGATCAAGGACCTAGGAATTAAACCAGAGACTTCTGCACCTATAGAAGAAAAAGTAAGCCCTAATCTCCCATCATGTTGGATTAGGCCCTAACTTCTTTAATAAAACTCTTATAGCATAAGAATTAAAATCAATAATCAATAAATGGTATGGATTCAAACTAAAAAGCAATCAGTAAGGTGAATAGAGAGCCTACAGCTTGGGAGCAAATTTTTACCACGTGCACATCAAATAGAGCACCAATCTCTAGAGTATATACAGAACTCAAAAAGCTAAAAAAAAAAAAAAAAAAAAAAAAACCCCAAATAAGCCAATCAATAAATGGGCCACGGAACTGAACAGACACTTCTCAGAAGGTGACATACAATCAATCAAAAAATATATGAAAAAATGTTCAACATCTCTAGTAATTAAAGAAATGCAAATCAAAATCAAATCATCTCACTCCAATCATAATGGCAGCTATTAAGAATACAAACAACAATAAGTGTTGGTGAGGATGTGGGGGAAAAGGCACTCATACATTGCTGGTAGGACTGCAAATTGGTGCAGCCAATATGGAAAGCAGTATGGAGATTCCTTGGAAAACCTGGAATAAAACCACCTTTTGACCCAGCTATCCCACTCCTCGGGTTTATACCCAAAGGACTTAAAAACAGCATACTACAGGGACACAGCCACATCAATGTTTATAGCAGCACAATTCACAATAGCTAAACTGTGGAACCAAACTAGATGGACTTCAATAGATGAATGGATAAAGAAAATTTGGTATATACACACAATGTAATATTACTCACCAATAAGAGAGACTAAAATCATGGCATTTACAGGTAAATGAATGGAGTTGGAGAATATAATGCTAATGAAGTTAGCCAATCCCAAAAAACCAAATGCCAAATGTTTTCTCTGATATAAGGAGGCTGATTCAGAGTGGGATTGGGAAGGGGAGCATGGGTGGGAGGAGAAGGGAGAGGGCATGGCATAGGAAAGACTGTGGAATAAGATGAACATCATTACCCTAAGAACATGTATAAAGACATAAATGGTGTGAATACACTTTGTATACAACCAGAAAAAAAAATTTAAAAACAATTGGACTTTGTGGGGAAAAAAAAGATACCCTCTACTTTCTGACAGTCTACGAATTTTAAAGAATATGAACATAATTGGTATTGGCTAAATATACACATTTATTGAGAGTAGTGGAAGAATTTTATGTAACTGGGTATGTTAGGACAGTAAAAAGAAAGATAAGTTTCAATAAAAACAAGTAATTTGAGAACTTCAACACTGCTCAAAACAAATCACCATTTTTATCTTGAGGCTACTATCATTTTCAGTGGTGTAATCTTTTTTTAATGTAATAATTAAGAGATCAGGCTGGTGATATAGCTCAGTTGGTAGAGTGCTTGCCTCACATGCACAAGGCCCTGCGTTCAGTCCCTAGCACCACAAAAAAATAAATAAATAATAAATAATTAAGAGATCAACAAAAATGTGTTCTAAAGACACAAAATTTATAGTTGCTGTTGAGAAGTCATATAACCTCAAAAAAATTTTAAACTAGAATGGAGAGACAGAAAATCCTAAAGACCAGACCAAACTTATTCTAACACACAGGGAGGAGGAATCTATTTTTCTTTGTAGGAAAACGATAATTTAAAAAATATTAACACAACAGTATACACAATAGACCAAACATCAGATTACTAGGATTCAAAAGTTATCTGCATAGGTGAAAGTTCAGGATTCACAAACCATCTCTGTGTTGTATAGAACTTCTCTGTAACTTCAATCCTGGAAAACCATGCAGTCCTAGTTTAAGTACCATGGGGATTCTGCTCATGTTTATATTTATCACAGGCTGGTAAATGGGATCAGAGCTGTAGCTTAAACAAGGCAGAAGGAAAACAGGAAGACTTGACCACAGGATATATCCAAAGACCCCAGAAAGATGAAAAAAGGGAGAAAAGACTAAGAAATGGCCAAGCTAAAAATATTTGAAGAAAACAGATGTCCTGGTCCTATCTAAAAGGTCTAGACTATAAAGAACCATGCAAGCAAAACTGATGCTTTTATAGCAGTTTATTTTTTAAAGAACTACCATTAAATGTTACAGCTGTTTTAACATATACTCTGATGCTATGAAATCATAGTTTAAGAAAATCTTAGATCTACGTTCTTGGTTAAATGTTTTATGTCCTTCATTCTATAAATACATAGTGAAGAAGCTAATTTCCTTTAAATGTTTTCTAAATCCAACAGCACAAATACAATGTTCATACCTGCTTCTCTGGACTAATCCTTATTAATAGAAGAACCAGTATAATGAATACTCTGTATTTATGCTTAATTAGCACATTGACTTATTCTCATCTGATCAACTTTATATAATTCAGCAAATCTCACTTGAATTCGAGCAAAATCTTAAGAAATCTTAAGATTTCTTACAATGGGATATTACCTTTTACTTAGAATTTGGATTTGACATTCTCAGATTACCTTGAGACAGTTCAAATTGTGCAAACGATATATGCACAAAAGCAAATTTCTTGCAGTTTTCTCTGGCCATTTGAAAGTAGTCACGTGCATCATCTGGCTCTTGAATACTATAATAAAAGACCAGAGTCAAATTAAAACAAAAACAAAAGGACACAGCTACTTAAACATGATAATTTTTCATTGTGTTTTCCATGGGATATTGCTTTTTTCTATATGTAAAATTAAATACTAAGTTTTTAAAAATCTTTTTAGGTACAGCCTAAAATATGAGTTCATTATCTCTCTTTACAATGTAGTTTCAAATTTTGTAATGTAGTCGCTTAAATGTAGTTAAAGGCTGGGTGTTGTGGCCCACCCACCTGTGATTCTAGCTCCTTGTGAAGTTGAGGCAGGAGGATTATAACTTGAAGGCCAGCGTGGGCAGCTAAATGAAATCTTGGTTCAAAATAAAACAAAAACTGGTCTGCAGATAAAGCTCAGTGATAGAATGCTTACCTAGCCTATGTGAAGCCCTGGGTGCTGCACACACATAAAAATAACTAAAATGTGTATACTTACGCTTTTAATTCAGCAAATCTCACTTGAATTCGAGCAAAACTTTCATTTTGGCCATATTTATCTGGAGGAAGTGCTTCAATGGCTTGACTATACCGACCAATCAATTTATTTAAAAGAGCATCATTTAGGGGGACACTGTTTTTCTCTAATTTGAGCAAGAAATTCAACCAGTCCTCTGGGTTGTTTGCCATCATCATAATTTGGTTAACAGTTCCAGAGTTATCTGAATAAGGAGAACAAAATGTATCACATAAACTTCTTGTAATATTTTAAAATTTTAACAGTTCATAATGGGAAGTCCTCTATCAATGATATAATTTATTAAAAATTCAGAAGCTTATTGTTCTGTTCCTGACACAACTTTACCACATTACTCTTTTAATAATTTTTCCACATACCTTAAACTTACTTGTAAAACAATCAAAGAAACCACCTTTACAAAAGATATGAAACTGATATGGTCATTTTCTTCTTCCTCCAAGTTACTTACATTTCTCCTAGGTGTTCTATTAATTTTCTGTTCTCACCAACTACCCTGGTCTAGACCTTAAGAACTTAATAGGACTTCTTTGATTGTCATATTCTGTGGAACCCAAACCTACAGAAACAGCAAATACAATCTTCAGATATAATTTTTACACTGTAATATATTTTTTACTTAATTTATTGATTGGTTAAGGTAACCTGAATTACAGTCTCCAGTTTATGATATTTTAGTCATTACTAAGCATTATTAAATTTAGATTTCCCAGAGAAATCACTATTCCTTAACAGTGTAAAATCCTCACTTTTGTAAACAAAATTACTGTGTCTGCTTTTTACTAAAATATAGTATTCCAGACTTAGTACTGCATGCCTATAATGCCAGCAACTTTGGAGGCTGAGGCAGGAGGATCACACCTTCAAGGCCAGCCTGGGCAACTTAGGGAGCCCATCTCAAAATAAAAAATAAGGACTGGGGATACTCTTCAGTGTTAGAGCACTTGCCTATCATACCTGAGTCCCTGGGTTGTATCCACAGCACTGCAAAAAATAATAAAATAAAAAACAAAAAAGGCTAGGGATGTAACTCAGTTGGTAGAGCAACTCTGTGTTCAATCCTAAGTGTCACAAATAAGTAAATAAATAAGAACATAGGACATTCATAACTTTGCTTTTTTCGCTTTAAATTTAACTTGGTCTGATCTAATGAGTAAGCACTAATTACTGAGAAAAATACATTATTAAAATTACTGAGAAAAGTACATTGTGGGTGGTTAACATCTCATTTCTTTACCTTAAAGAACGCTAAATAAGTGGTTTTTCAAAAAGAAAAAAAATTCACCTGTAGTATCAGCAGAGACTTTACTCAAACTTAGCTCATCAGTAAGATCTTCGTTTTTAAATTTATTTTTAATATCTCTCACTTTGTTCATTATGGAATCAATTGTCAATTCTCTGCCACTTAAATCTTCAGCCTCCATTTCTAAGTTGCAACTAGCCTTTTAGAACACAAAAGAAAAAGCATTAGTTTTGAGGACACATTTAATGCTGCTATTATTCAAACAATGGACCCAACTTTGTAATTTATACAGAAAGGTTACCACTTTTCTTCCTAATATTACTTAGTGAAGTTACACTCTTAAGTCACAGTACAACACAAAATCATATGCCTCCTTTTAAACTTTCTATTTTTCTTCTATGCACGGAATGCCTTCCTTTTTTTAGAATGACTTTCTCTGGGCCACCTGAAAATTCCATCCTTTTTCAAAAAAATACGACCAAGTGTTTTCTTGGATTGTGGCAGTAACAAAAAGAAAGCTTTGGGTAATGTGAATAATGGTTCTTTTATTTAATTTGCTTTATTTGAATTAATCTTCATACTTAATGTGCTTTCACAGCAGAATATGAACATCACGACCCTTTATTAATAACTGGGATTTAGCAGATTTGTTCTTGTGTATACCTGGCAGTACGACTTGCTACATTAATCATTCTATACAAGAATCAATCGAAATTACTACTATAGTATTGAGCATTTGCTAATCTGCATGATGGTGTTGGAACAACACAGTGAAGTCTTTCTTCCTGTCAATCTCATCTTTGTGAATCTTAAATATTAATCCAGTCATCCAGGTCACTAACAGTACTGCCACCCTGCCCTCGATAAAAAGGGGCGACAAAGTAGGCAGCAAGATATCACCCACCTCTGAAGTCAGGTTTGAAACTGTCAGAATACTGTCACAATCTCCTAACGAGAACGGACGAGAGGGACTGTATTTTGAGGAAAGTCTCCCGTGTAGGTGCCCCGCCTCGGCCTCTTTCCAGCGAGGTCTACACCCACTTTTCACTTCCTCAACAAACCCTTCAGTATTACCCCACCCTCTAGATCGTCTGACGCAGGAAAACCTCTGCTTTTCTCCAGCTCTTTCAGCCGCGCCGCACGTCGTCTACTCAGTTCTGAGCCTCCCCGGTCTCGCCCCCACTTCTCACCGACCTGCGCCGCTAACGAGCTCCCACCCAGGACGCCACCGTTTTTTGGTGCGTCCGCGAGGCAGAACTTACCGCTCCTAGAAGTAAAGCTGTAGAGAAGAAAAGATGGAACCCAAATCGCTTCCCGCAAACACGTTTGAATCTCCCCGCCGCTACCGCCGTAACCTCGTATTGGTCACGGCTACTCACGTGGCAGCGTCTGACATGATTGGTTCCTGAGCGTCCGCCCCGCCTCTACCCTGCGTCCTTTCGCCGCGCCTGGGAGGGATTTGGACCTTGGCCGGACCCAACTGCTGCTAAGATGACCCGCTTGAGCGGCGTTTGTAGTGACGGAATGCTTTAGTCCAGGCAGGTGTGCCCTGGAGCCTTGTCGGCTGCCTTTTCTATACTTTCTGGCTTAAACGGACCGGATTTCTGGCAAGGAGTAGCCACTCCTGGGCGGAGCTGGCCGGGGGCGGGGACGACTGGTCCCCGCTCCTGTATCTAAACGGTGCGAGGTGGGTCTGCCTTTCACCCCAACATCCCTCCGTTCTCTTTGAATAGACAGCACGTAAAGACAAAGGATTTTTCACGGCGCTACCTACAGTCTTGTAGAATCTCTTTCGTTTTTATCCTTGAGCTTCCGTTTGTGCCCTCCCACTATCCTTAAATGATTGCTTGCCTATCTTCAAGACAAGACCCTTCCCTCTGGTAAAATTATGCCTGGAGCTTACATGCCAGACATAATTACCCTATTTAAATTCACTATCAGTTCTCCTGCCTTCTAGACTGTTCCACTTAAGGTCTCGCTGCTCTGCTGCTAAGTGGCTTTGAGGTTCAGGGCAACGGTTATCTCTTTTATCTTTGAAAGGAGAGATGCCTCTCTTGTGCTAGAATCATGACAAGTGCTCTGTGGTAGGATTGGTTCCTTGATTTGGGGTAGGTGTAGGAAACTTAACTGCAGCTGTTATTTATTAACTGCCGTCCCAGCCAGCTTGAATTTTCTTCATCACTCCCCTGCCCCTGTACTAGGAGTTGAACCGAAGGGCGCTCTACCACTGAGCTACATCCCCAGGCCTTTTTATTTTTAAATAAAAAACATTTTTATTTTAAAATAAACATTTTTATTTTTTTATTTACTTTTTTTTAAAATGCTACGTCTTTAAAATCCATTTGTTAAATTGTTCAGGCAATTTAACTGAACTTGGCATCCTCCTGCTTCAGCCTCCCAAATTACAGGCCACTGCATCTAGCTGTCTTCATCCCTCAACCATATTTTTCCATATCTGTTGGGTATACATTTTTGCTTCAGCAAAACAAAATGATTTACTATACCATGGTTAGTGAATCACTGCCTTTACTTTTTTGCATCTAACACTTGCTGTATTTGAAAGGAATTTATTATACCATCAGTTCTTAATTTCTTTCTTTGAGACCTAATCTCAAAGTGTGCATTTTTTTCTGAAAATACTGCTCTGCTGGTGAATAACTTTATTCTCACATTTATGTTTAGTCACTAATTTGGTGATCTCCAGTCTTATATCTTTAAAATGCCATCTTGATATTGACTCCAAAATTTTTTATCTCCAGCTGAGTTCTCTCTCCTGAACTACATCTTCAAATATTCATTGCTTAATTAACATCCTCTCTTAAATATCTCATAGGCATCCTAAACTCAAAATGTCCAAAACTGAGGCCCTATTCTTCTTACTCAAATCTGCTTCTGACAAAAATCTCTGTAAAAAATAACTTACCTATTCCAATTTTTAATACCCAGAACCTTTGTGTCATCCCTTAGCCCACATCCAATTCATAAGCAGACTAGTCACAGTCTTATCACAAGATTTTCTGGGATGCTACCATTCTTCCTACCTCCACTGCTACCACTCTAGTAAAAAGTACCTTCATCATTTACCAAAATTACTCCAGTGGCCTCATGGCTGATCTCCCAGCCTCTGCCCTTGCCTTGCCTCAGTTTATTCTCCTTCACAGAACACTCTTAAATCAGATCATGTCCTCTGTGCTCAAAACCAGTACTCCCCAGTCTAGCTCAGAATAAAGAACTAAATCCCTATAATGGTCTAGAGTTGCATGTTCAATATGCTATTATAGGGTACCCATGGTTATTGAGTGTTTGAATCTATCTATTGCCATTGATTTAATTAAAAACTGATTTATTATAGTTATTGGAAAACTTTTCAAAAATCTTTTGTAGTTATAGGTAGACAGCATGTCTCTATTTTATTTACTTTTATATGGTGCTAAGGGTGAAACCCAGTTCCTCACATATGCTGGGCAAGCTACGGCTCCAGACCCTAGTTACTGAAAAACTTTTAAGCATACTTTCAAATTTACTTTTTGGTTTGTAACTTTTGTGAGATCTTAATGCAAATTAATATGGCTTTTTATTTTTTGATATGGCTAATGGAAAAATTGAAAAGTACTTGTGTGGCTTATGTTATACTTCCATCGAACTGTGATGATCTAGAAATCCTATGGTTTTACCTATCTGATCTATTTATCTAATTCTCCATACCACTAGAATGTAAACTCTATAGGTACAAGAATTTTTATCTACTTTGTTCATCACAGCATCTGTGGTGCTTAGATTGGTGCTGCTACATTGTTGACACTTGACAAATGTTAGTTAAATCTAACATTTACAACTTCTGGAGTATTTGAGAATTCTGTTTCCTTTAATATGCTTTTGTAGTTGTACAAAAATTTGTTATTTGAATTAAAGCCACCTTCATCTGGAAGTGAATAAACTAGTTTATTTCCAGAGTCAAGTCTTCACAAAACAATTCACCAACAGATTTTATGCTTCTATTTTAAGATGGAAATTTTCATATTTTTGTCACATAAATATAAATTTGTACTCTATAACTTTGCCATTGTCAATGTATCACTTTTTTGCTAATCTTTGTCTTCTGCAAGCACAGCTGCCTTTTTAATTCAGTTATTGAAGTCATTGTTACATGAGTTCACTAAGCCTCAAGCTCTGATCTTAAAATTTGTTTCCTATGCTTGAATTTACTTTGTGCATCTACAGGGGTGAAATTTGATAAATAATAGATTCATTTACTACAAATATGATCAGTTGTATACCACATTTTGATGGTTTATTCTGGCATAAAATGTTACAAGTTTGTATGATTCTGGTGCATGTAGAACGGTGAGAGCCTATATGAATATGTATTATCAGGAAAGCCAGATATCACAGAATGGACTGAGCTAGACCTAAAAAGAGAAAAAAAAAAGCGCAAGGAGGCTAACAAAGTACTTCACAGATTATGAAAAAATGCAATGATAGGGCTGGGACTGTAGCTCAGTGGTAGAGGCTTGCCTACCCAGTGGGGTTCCATTCTCAGCACTGCACATAAATAAAAGTCCATTGACAAGTAAAGAAAATATTAAACAAAACAAAACACAATGACAGCTTGGAATTGGTCTGGCCAAGAAAATCAGCACTGACAAATTGGGACCCCTACCTGGACTTAGTTACTATTATTCAAGGCAACAGATTATATTAACAAACAGCAGAAAAAAAATGTAAGATTCTTAGCTTCTGTTTTTCTTTTTTCTTCATCATGGAGACTAGCATTGAACCTGACAATCTTAAAGACAAATATGTTTTCAAACTCTTCTTAGGACAGATTGTATAAGAAAGGCACTTAAGGTCGGATGTGGTGGTGCACATCTGTAATCCCCATGGCTCAGGAGTCTAAGGCAGGAGGATCATGAGTTCAAAGCCAGGCTCATAGACTTAGCCAGGCCTTAAGCAACTCAGTGAGACCTCATCTTAAGTAAAATACGAAAAAGGTTTGAGAATGAGGCTCAATGGTTAAGTGACCCTGGGTTCCATCTCCAATGAGAGAGAGAGAGAGAGAGAGAGAGAGAGAAGAAGAGAACCGAACCTTACTTTGTTGGCTACTGTATTTTGGAGAAACTAAACAGAATAAAAAAATTACTGATATAATCCCAGAAACATTGATGGTAATCTCTGAAAAGTTATGATAAATTCTAGCAACGAAAGAAACCCAGAAATGAACAAACACTACTTTTTAAAAAGAAAATTTGGAAGCTTCAGGTCTATATGATGTTGAGATAGATTTTTCACCCAATTTTGGAATGAATTAAAGAATTGTTTGGAAGCAAAGATCTCTAGATACCAATATGAATTTGTTAAGAACAGGTCATATAGGATATATTAAATTTTTATTTTAATTGTTACTAAATTATAAATGGAAAGATCATAAGAATAGAATAACTTTGACCAAAAAAAAAAAAAAACAACTTTCTTACATTTTAGTCTGGAACAGAGAGGAGCATGTCGTTCAATATCACTAATATGATTCTGCAGCTTTTCATCATTATTCTCAAAGATCTCTTCTAAAAGTTTAAGGAGAACATGGGTAGAAATTTTCAGACTAGATAAAAAGCAAGCCTCCCACTACCTATGAGAAACCCAGTTTATTGTTTCTGCTTTGTTCTGTTTTGCTTTGTGTGGAGATGGTGTCCCTCTATGTTGCCTAAGCTGGTCTCAAACTCCTAGGCTTGAGTGAGCCTTCTGCCTTGCCCTCCTGTGCCAAAAACTTCAGAAAGGAGAAATCAGAATTAATTAGAATAATATGCCCTAGTATCAAAACAGGTACTAATCATACAGTACCACCATTGTATTCTACTACATTCAACATGACTCCAGGTCATCGATCTGGAGAGAACTGAATTTAAAAAAGGAAAAGAAGGGTTAAGGATATGGCTCAGTGCTAGAATGCAGGAGGCCCTGGGTTTGATCTCCAGCAACACACACACCACCTAACAGCAAAAGGAAGAGAAAGAGAAAATAATATACAGCATGCTCTTCATGATATAAAAGTGAAGAGGTAAGATG